GCTGACTCCTACCTTTGAACACAAAGTGAACATCACCGACAGAGCGCAAACACAGCGCTGCTTCCCGAAGCCTTTACTTAGTAGCATGCTATTAAGCTGTTCCATATCAGCTATAGCAGGCATGAGGCAGCTGATCTACTTTTAATCCCTGCTACTGGTTTCTTACCATTACCAGCCCATTTCTCTCTGCCTTCCAATTTACCAGCCTGTAAAATGGAAATAGACTCCTTTCCTTGCTCTCCAGGTGATTTGAGGCTTATCAAACAAAATTTGATAAAAGTTTGAGATTATTAGCATAAAGAGATTAAATAAAATATAACCCCTATAAACAAGTAACTTCATGTCTGGATTAGGACAGAACAGTTTAGGATTGCTAGCTGGTTTAGATTCAGGAACTGACTCTCGAATTACTCCTAATATCATATTTCTACAAAAATAAAGCACCTTAGAGGAAGAAGCACATCTGATAAATTTACTGACAGGACACATGTCAGTATGAAAAGTCTACAATACAGAAAAGCTTTTCTAAAACAGAAAAAAGCACCCCAAATGTTATCTGCTACACAAATCATCCACAAACGAGATTAAATGTCTTGATGATTCCCTTTTCTTTCTTTCTTTCATGCCATAAACTGAGGTATATGGTGCTAAGGCGTTCCACAAAATGTTCAAGAAAGAAAACTGAGATGTCAGGCATCAGAAATTTGGCTAAGAGACATAGCAGGAGCATATTAAAGAGTATTTAAGAGAAGGAAATGCCAGCACTGTCTTCCCACAGACCCATCATCTGGCTAGAAATCCAAGGCATGCTGAAACACACAGCAGACAACTTCAGCAGGCTTAAAAAGTCTCCAGAAAAGTGGCCCATTTACTTCAACATCTAGCAATATTATACAGAACACAATCGATGACTAGGCCAAACAGAGGTACCAATTGTTACCTATTTACTGCAGATGTTAAACAGAAATGGTGAAGTGCACAGTGCTCCAGAGTACTCACATTTTCAGGTATGCTAGGAAGCTCTCTGGTGTCAGGCACAGTAAAGTAAGAGTGCTAAAAAAAGAGCAAATATTGATTATTGCAATATTGTCAAAGGCAATCTAAGCTTTTTGCTTGGTATTAGTAGCAGAAGTAATAGCAGTTGCTCAGTAAGTAAAAATGACAGAACATTTGTTACCAACTACCAGTAGGACTCCTTTGTCATGGATTTCAAAAGCCGGATTCTCAGATCACACAGGCAATATGAAATTAATTAAGACAGAAAGTATCAAATGCTCTTGAAAAGTTACATCGTTTTGCTCTTCAGAGATGCCGACACAGAGCGACTCCCATGATGTATGACATATGCCAAGGAGACTCCAAGGCAGTTGTCCTGATTTTACTGAAGTTCTAGGTCACGTTCACATGCCTTAAAAAAACCGTGGTGGAAGACTACACTAGTGTCACAGTTTCATAATCCGTAACGCTGTTCCATTTTTATAATTGTCTGCATTCCAACAGGCCAGGTTCACTCTGCTTCCCAATCTGCCCATGCACAACTTGCATGACTCTTGGTTAGGGCTTCGGGAAAGGAAAGGAGAGAATGCAACTAAACTGCTTTTGTAAATCAATGTTGCACGCAATTTATATGATTTTGAAGATTTCCACAATTTGTCTTAGGGCTACTTATTAATTACTCGCTGAAGCTTTAAAGGCTTCTTGGCATAGTTCCACAATTGGCACAATTTCCTCGTGTATCTCTCTCAGACATTTCAGTGCTTCACGAACAGTCTATAACCCGAAATAGCAAGTGGGTATAACAGCCACACTGAATATAGACACTAAATCTATAAACACCACTTTTTGCTTTTTGGTATATCACTGGTTTATTTCAGGTTGAAAAGATGCAACGCAAAGATACAGGAATAGTATACGTAACGATATCACATATAGCAACCTCACCCCAACCCCAAAATAGGCTTGTAAACAGACAAAACAGAACGCGTAAAGACACCACAGCTAACAGTCCCTTGACTGCTTTTTTTATATCCTTTCTTGCTTCATCACCCATGAAATGTCTGAGGCAAGGGGGACCAGCAGCATTCCTTGAAACCACTGGTACGAAATAACTGAAATATCCCAACCAAGCACTGCCCTTGGAGCCAGCTAAGCCCCCGCACAGCAACGCCCTCCCAGGAGGTGCAGCCCCAGGGGACCGGGACATTTCTGCTGGTGACCCCACACGGCCCAACAGCCGCTACCTGCAGAGTGACACTGCCCAGGGGTGATGTATGCACTGCTGCTCACCAAAAAGTACTGGAGAGGGAGTAAAGGAACTGAGAGGGAGAAGAGAGCTGTGGCTGCACACAGCACCAGTTCCCATGTGAGCTCTCAGCGATGCAGCAGTGAGCACCGTAAGTATTTCTGCACTACAGCCTGGAACACAAGCTTGTTCTACAAAAATTAATTTGAAGAGAAAAAACTCCAAAAGACTAAACTCAAAATACAATCCCATCAATAGAATCCCACTTTTATTCTTTCAGTGTTCTTTGACTAGTTTTCTCACAAGATATAAAAATGAAATAAATCTCTTTCTGAGTCAGTCTTTTTCTTGAGGGAAGAAAGACCAGAAGGAATCAGAAAGTGTGATACACATTTAATACTCAAATCGCTGCTACAACAGGTACAGGACTGTTTGCTTGCAGTCTTGTCCCCCTTTGCACACTTGCGAGATCTAGGAGTCCCGCAGAAGTGTGGACAATAAATGTCACGTTGCTGCTCTGTGACCTCTCGCAGGTCACCAATGATGTGGTGAGAAATTTCCATGGGGAATACACACAATCTTCCTCCGACCAAAGAGCAGCATTTCAAAGACATCTGAGGTTAAGGAAAGGGAAACAGAGGGCCCCAAATGTGAAAAGGGGAATTTCACAGCTCTGTGCAAAAAGGAGAATTGCTTTTGACATTCCTACTTCGTATTATAATACATAATGAAAATTAAACACATCTCTCCCACTTCACTTACCACTCCAAGATGAACAGAGGTTCCTGGCTCAGGGATGGAAAGCTTATGAAATGTTTCTAGGAGCTCACTCCTTTGGCTGTCCTGAAATAAGAAAAGAAGAAGAAGAAAGGAAAAAAAGAATCCTGAGTAGGCATTGCTGTAAGAAGCTGAACTCCAAGATGGAAGGGCAATGTTTGAGGAACTGGGGGCTTAGAGAACTTGCAAGTGAAAAAAAAAAAAGTGAAAGCAGATTTATACATTAGACTGCGAACTGAAATAGATGTAGTTTCCCCTGGCAGCTGGGGTTTATAACATGGCTTTTTTGAGCATGTATTTCTGCAACCTACTGAGTCACGAACCCATGCACTACACAGTTACTCAGCTCAGAGCAAGCCAGTTCTCACTGCAAGTTCTTTATAACAACTCCCTAGCTTAGGGTAAAGCCAAATGTGTTTAATCCATCTAAAGGAAGATGTGATATTAAGTGATTTTGTACCTCAAATGCCAATGATTCTGTGAAATGCAAAACACAGTTACTACCACAAAATGGTAACGGACTTTATTTTTTCCCAAAAATAATTTAAAAGCGTATTTATTTTTTCAAAGGCACTTGCCAAGCTTTCAACTTGGTTGAATATGAACTGCTGTATTACTGCATCATTCAGATTAATAATTCACATGGTCATCTCTGATATAAGCACTTCTTAAACCAGCTTGTTTGCATCCTCTCTTCCTCATTTGACATTAGGGCAGGGAAAAGAAGGGCTAGTACTTTAGAACAATACCTGTCCTTTTGCTGAATAGTCTGCCAAGACATTGAGCAGCTTATAGAAGACTTCAAACCATGGGAGGTAACTGGAAAAAAGGAAGAAAAAGCATACATTTCACTTGCTAGATCTCAGTAAAAAACACAAGACTGGGGGCCTTAGATGCATCCCACCAACAGCCACGCTGTAAATATCTGCGAGGAAAGGCAGAGGCGGGCAGGGCTGGGAGCCCACCAAACCTCCCCTGCGCAGAACATGCAACCCAATGCCGTCCTTGACCTGTAACATAAATGGACACAGATATTCACGTATGGCGGAGCATTTTTAATTGTAATTCTCTCCCAAAGTACATGTTGACTAACGAGTCTCCTGTACAGCTGCTGAGGGTCCCAGTGAACTGCAGACACAGTTGTTTTGGTTTCGAATCCTGATACAACTGCATTTTTCAAGTTGCATAAGCAGTACCTCAGATTTTAAACCGTTGCCAAATCTTATTCTATCGCTGTATTTAGCCCAGCCCTTAGTGAGGCCAAATAGAAACTTCACCTTCAATCAATTTGCACTTGACTTACAAAAGAAATAAAGAAACAACTTTTTTTAAAAAAAAAGCAGAAAAATGACATCTTTTTCATTTATATTACGTTTCCATTCCACAAAATAAGACAGACAGCTGTTACTTTTCACTACAGTATGCTTCCGTATGATTTTGTAGCCTATATTCATGGCTCAATTCTTTATTTTAATTCCTTTTAAATACCAACAAGGAATTTCCCCTCAGCTGCAGTGAATAGGAAAGCGAGTGAGTGACGCACAAACGGGTTCTTCTTTTAAACACAGATGCTTTCTGGAGCAAATGGATTCAATTTTGATATAGTTAGACAGGATCTGAGGTTTTTATGAAATATGACTCCGTCCTGACAACTCTAAAGAATTGAGTGCCCCGTGGTTCCTAACTGTACGGCTTTCGGTGATAAATGAAGTGAGAAGCTATATATGAGACAGATAAAGCGAATGGCACTCCATCATTAACTTTTGTTTGAAGCCTGCAAATGCTACTGTAAAATGTAAGTAGCTTATCAAAATATACTGATAAGCAACTTAACTTTTCATGTTATATGACAGTATTATCATTGAAATTAATATGCTCTAAGCATCTTTACAAACTGTGTATTAGAATGGAGCAGAAAGACAGACAATTACCACTTTAAACAGCATTTAAGTTTGGCATTCTATTGTAAACAATCAAGAAGGATTAGTCAGAAGATAAGTTTCTTTCTTTCTGTTTAGTTAAATAAACTCCAGCAGAGTTAAAAGCCATTACAAGAGTAACAAGAAATCCTCTCAAAACATATCTGCTAAGTAGAGATTAAGAACCTGGTAAACAAATCCTCACAGGGCATCTATCAAAAGAGCCTGAAAAGAAGAAAACGGGGCTGGCAGAAAGCTCCCTGACAGCGGGAAACCCAAACTTCCTTCAGGACGGCGTATTTAAAAGTTCTGCTTAGTTGCTTGGGGACTTTGCTGGAAAACTACATTTACAAAACCAAAATGAGAATTTTTAAAAATATAATTGTGTTCATAATGCGCACCAGTATAAAGCAATGAACAAAAGCAATTTACCTCAGCTCCCAGCCTGCCAGAGCCGCGCTTGCCCGTGGGCAAGGCCAGAGCGGGATCTTGCACACCCAAAGGACAGGGCCAAGCCCCCAGACCACGGCCGTTCCCTGGGCTGGGCTGGGCTCTGCCTGCTCCCACCCCAACCTCACCTCACCGCAGATCCGGGGGACTTTGCTTTGTTACCGCCACGGCCCAGCCATGACAAATCCGCAGGCTGTGTCCACGGAAGCGCTCCATTCCAAACCCAACTTCCATTCTGGCACACAGCACCCAGGAAATAGCTCATATGACTCTCATAAAAACAGCCCAGGTAAAGTCTTACGGTCACGCAGTGTTAAAACACGAGCACAGCCCCCGTACAACAGGAGGGACGGCACAGCCCTATTTCTGTTGTGTTTGCTCACTCCCTCTTGGCTTCCCCTTTCCTCTTCACCAGTATCGAGTAATGAACTTCATGACTGCCCTTTGTTTAACACTAACTCTTCCTCATTTTAATCCATGTTTTCCAAGAAATGGTTCAGGATCTCAGCATAACGGCTACTTCTCCTTATTTTAAGAATAACTTTCCATTTTGAGGAGAGAAGCTTCACAGTTGTGAAGCAGAGGAAATGAGCCGGTATTTGAAGCAGACTTCAATGCAACGCAATACACGGGATCTGTGCAGCTCTTGCTCAACCTACCACAAGATGATATATAAACTATGTAGGCAATCTCACTTCAATTTTCACCTTCCTCCTTTGTCACTGCAGAATTCAGGATCTCTCTCCTCCTGAAAGCTTTGGAGACATTAGAAAACTAATTTATCCTGTCATTTTCAACACTTTTACTTCATCACTTATTCCATGTGTTCAGTACTCAGTGAAAGAGTTCTGATTTCATTAGACCAAATTATGACCAGCTGAAGTAAAAAAAAAGAAAAATCAAGTAATTAATGAAATATAGTTATCTGAATTTGTTCAGCAGAGATCTAGAATATCTCTGCCAAAAGGAAAAAAGAGAAGATGTGGATTTTTCTTACAAAAAGCAAATCCTCAGGGCAGCCTTTAAACACCCCCTCCAAAGTCAGAGAGGTTGAATTTATAACCAAAAACTTTCTGTACCGCATGCAACTTAAGTAGCACAACTGGTAGCACTACTGAAGATTTATGGCTTATGACTCGCTCATATTTAATTTGTAACCAAACACTTCCCCTTCCTCTTAGCTACCTCAGAACTTCTGATTAACTCTTGTTTGCGCAGGTCAGAGGTTAAGCAAAGGAAGGGAAGCACTCTACAGTGAAATTGCCCAGAGCAACGCGGCATGGGAGCGCGCACCCGCGTGCACACGTCCCCTCCGAGCAGCAGCAAAACAGCCACAGATGGGATCCTGCGAGGGCTGAAGTTCAAAGACTCCAAGCAGCATAAATCACATTACGAGTGAGGAGTAAACACAAATAAAAGGGCGATCTGAAACACTAAGTGGTTTTAATTTTACACCCGTTTTCAGTCTCCTCACGCATCCACGCACATACAGCGACACATTTGCCACCAGTCGTGAGACACAAATCGCGGGCTAATCAAATTGGGCTTCTCCAAGCCGAGAGATGGGCTGAGCACTCTGCTTCTCCCCTCTGAACCTCGGTGCTCAGACAGAGCAGTCTGCGCGCACAGGAAAACGGCTCTGTGTGCTACATAAGTCTGCACTAACTCGGCTGCACAGTGCCTTATTTAGCGACTCGTATGTCATCACCTTTTTAGTGCGCTCCTGGAAAGTACAAAACATCATTAGTTACATGTGTCACGGCAATTAGGGCCAGTCCAAACGTTAAGACAACAGCGCTGCGCTGCAGCCTGTAAACACAAATGTTTCCAAAATGCAGTGTTTAAAGAACAGCGGTGCAAAAACAACCGAGGAGCCAGGCTGAGACAATGGGAGAGAGACAGAAAGAAGCAAATGAGCTCCATAGCAAAGCCCAGGGGTGTCTGTGGAGGTGTCGGTGGCCACGACGGGGTTCACCTCCGCTAGAGACCGTGCTCAGAGGCTGGGGGCCTAGGGGATGGCCAGCACAGCCACACAAGGCACAACGCGGCAGCCGGCACCACTCGCACACGTCCAATCCATGCTTCAAACGTTACGCTGAACAGAAAATGTCATCACCCAATATTAGCTGCTACACAGATGAAAATGCTGTACTGCAGTCAACTTAGCTTTGAGTTTTTCAACATATTAATCCACTTGTGCGCTTTAATCTACGAAAGGAAAAAACTGCTTGATTACAGCAGCACATGAGGCCACGTTTTCTGACCTCCAGAAGGGACTGCGGCCAAACTCGGAGAATATTACGCTAGCCCCTTTGAAATAACGTAACTGCATTTATATGCACACATATATACACACAGACACACACAAACCACGTGGACACACACATACATGTACATGTTGTCATTCAGTGATACTAAGCTGCCAACAGCAATGAAATGAGGCAGAAAAGTGGATTTCCAGGATCCTCCTACTCTCATTAAACACTTAATACAAAAGCTACATAACATGAAGGGCTCATTGATAATAAGTTACAGGACGCCGAGCTGCACAAACGTATGAAAGCTGCTCTTCCAACTCCATCAGAACACAGCAACTGCTTCCAGCAAACACAAAAGCCAAAAAGTATGCACAAAACCAAGTCCACAGCTCTACTACAGTGACTGCCTACACGTAAGGGCATACAACTGATCTAGTCAAATGGACTTGTCCAGCTGTAGGTACGGAAATGCAGCATCTCCAAGAATAGCAAAGGGGAAATCTTAAGCAACTTATCTACACTGGCATCCAGCTTCTGTAGTAAAGATGCCATCCTCAGGAAAACCAGCTGTTTCTATCCAGTTCTGAAGCGTTACTAATGAACAGAGGTTTTGATAATAAATATATTTTCTTTGAAGTGTGAAAATTTCACCATTATAATTTCTTTTGGTATTTTTCAAGCGCTCATTAGAATGAAGAAGAGTCATAGCATGCACCTCTCTAAATCACTGCAGCTATCTCACAAATCCCCCATACTCCCAAGGTCAAGTGTAAAGGGAGGCAAACAGGCAAACACAGCACGGAACCAGGAATTTTCCTTGCTGCTGGAAAAGTAAATCTCCAGTGAAATCAACTTTAAAAGGCAGAGATTTTCCAGTGTTGTTTGTGACAGGCAGCTGTGAAGGAGGAAGCAATCAGGAGATAACCAAAGTGTGCAAGAGCCTTGTGAACGCTGAGCTCACCAAAACCAGCGCCCATGGAGCACTGCAGAATTTGAATGTGTATTGAGAACTCTGGCAGAAAAAATGCTACGTTACAGTGTAGCAGCAGCAAACCCCAGCGGCAGGAGCCACCTTTTAAAATGCTTTATGAGTATTTGCTAATTACCACAGCAACTGTTTATAAAACTAATTGCTAACGTTTTTGCATTTTTCCAGCATTCCGTTTTACTGGTGTGCTGACACCACTAAAAA